GGTAGAGAATTCCAGAAATTGACAGCGCGAGCTATAAAGGAATTCTGAAATGAGGCAGATCTGTGCGAAGGGATGTAAAGGTCAGAAGGTCGAGATTTTGTTGACAGGGAATGGACTGAGGATTTGAATTGGAGAAGGTTGTAGGCGTAAGAAGGACGATGGTTGTTGATGATTTGGTAGAGGAACGTCCCTAGAAAATATTGTCTTCTAAAGGAGGGGAAGAATTTCTCTCTAATCAACTGCCATGCCCCAACAGAGGTGTCACCTGAGGAGGATAAGGAAGCATTTTATGAAGAACTTGGACGTGTGACAGAAAGCTGCCCCAAAAATGATGTTAAAATCATTCTTGGTGACTTTAACGCCCAAGTTGGTAAGGAGGTGGCACTCATGCCGACCATAGGAACCCACAGCTTGCATGAGACCAGTAATGATAATGGGCTACGGATGGTGAACTTTGCTACATTGCACGGACTGGTTGTTGGAACAACTCTTTTTCCTCGAAAGAATATCCACAAAGCAACATGGATCTCTCCAAATGGGCAAACAGCATCACAGATAGACCATGTACTCATTAGTGCCCGTCACAAGTCCAACATGATAAATGCAAGATCTTATAGAGGTGCAAATATGGACACGGATCACTATTTGAGCATTGCTGAGGTCAGATCACGAATTTCGCTGATTAAAAACCACTACCAACGACCAAAGAAGAAGATTGATGTGGTTAAACTTAAGGACTCAGACCACCAATATTCGTATCAACAAGCTGTGGAGACGAAACTTTATGAAGAAGTAATTAATGACAGCTCTATGGTCGATGAACAGTGGAAGAGATGCAGCAACGCAATGAAACAGGCAGCAGAAGAAGCTCTTGGCTACGAGACTAAATCTAGAAGGCCCCCATGGTTTGATGCTGAGTGCCTTCAAGCAGTAAAAGCGAAAAATGAAGCCTACAGAAAGAAGGTTCAGCGTCCCACAAGGCTCTCCCAAGAAACATATCGAAGAAAAAGACGCGAAGAGAAGAGATTATTCCGCGGAAAGAGAAGAGCTTGGGAAAATAAGAACATGGAGGACACAGAGGCATTGCGCGGCCAAAATGAAAGTCGCCTGTTCTTTCAGAGAATAAACGAGGGTAGGGCAGCTTTCAGACCCAGAGTGACGGCATGCAAAGACACGAATGGAACTCTTTTAAGCCACAAAGATGACGTACTAAGGAGATGGGTACAACATTTTAAAGGCGCATTAAACAGAGGAACGGTGCCTGGAGAAGTAGGTGTAATGAAGGAAGACTCCCTGAATTCTATTGAACCCCCGGATGAGGAGGAAATGGAAAACGCCCTGAGGAAATTGAAAAATGGAAAGGCGCCAGGCCCGGACGGAATCCAGTCAGAGCTGTTGAAATGTGGAGGTGAAGAACTCAAGAAAGCTCTGCATGATTTAATGCTGACCATCTGGGAGAGGGAAGCTATGCCTACGGAATGGGCAACAGCCATTATCTGCCCAATACATAAGAAAGGAGATCAAACAGAATGCGCTAACTATCGAGGAATCTCACTCCTTTCGTGTGCTTATAAGCTGCTCTCTAACATTCTTTTTGAGAGGATCCTCCCGTATTCTGAAAAGGAACTGGGGAAATATCAGGCTGGATTTAGAAGAGGACGCTCAACCACTGATCAACTGTTCTCTCTGAGGATGATCCTGGAAAAGACTATGGAGCGTAAGGTAGTCACCCACCATTTATTCCTGGACTTTAAAGCAGCATACGACAGCGTTGATAGAACGCAACTATACTGTGCCTTGGAGGAGCTAAGCATCCCTCAGAAGCTCGTACGCCTAATCAAGATGACCATGGACAGCTCGAGATGTAGAATACGCGTCGGTTCTGACGACTCCGAAGAGTTTAAAGTGAGCAGTGGGGTTAGGCAAGGGGATGCCCTCGCCTGTCTATTGTTCAACTTGGCAGAGGAGAAAGCTGTAAGAGACTCCGGTATTCAGACCAACGATATAATCTTCAATCGCCTGACACAGCTTCTTGGTTTTGCTGATGATATTGACATAATAGGTAGGTCTGAACGGGCTCTCAGAGAAGCGTTTATAGGCCTTGAAGCAGCTGCAAGACCACTTGGTCTAGAAGTCAACGAGAGGAAAACTAAGTATATGAGAGTTGGTGGTGAGGTGGATCTGAACTCTCCATTTGAGGTAGGTTCTTTTAAGTTTGAGAGAGTGAAAAGTTTTATATACCTTGGGTCTGAAATTAATAGCAAAAATGACATGGCTCAAGAAATACAAAGAAGGATCACGGCTGCCAATAGATGTGTCTTTGGACTTGGCCGACACTTAAGAAGTAGGTACCTCTCAAAGAAGACCAAGCTGATCATATACAAGACCCTTGTTCGGCCTGTTTTGACATATGGCTCAGAGGCTTGGACGATGACAAAAAAGGATGAGATGAAGCTGAGTGTGTTTGAGCGAGGAGTCCTCAGAAGGATTTATGGTCCAGTAAAGGAGGGTGATGTCTGGAGGAAAAGAAAAAATAGGGAGCTCAGTTCTCTCTATGCAGACATCGACGTAGTCACGTATATTAAACTGGCCAGACTAAGGTGGGCAGGGCATGTGGCCAGAATGAGCACCGTTGAAATACCAAAAAAAATAATGATGGAGGAGCTGCACCTCGTAAGACGGGTAGGAAGGCCGAGGACGAGGTGGTTGGACAACGTGGCCTATGATGCGAGAACCCTTCTTGGTGTACGGAACTGGAGAGCTGCAGCAGAAGACAGAGCCAACTGGCGGAGGCTCTTGGAGGAGGCCCAGTCTCGGTAACGGGATGTTGTGCCACAAAAAAAAAAAAAAAAAAAAAAAAAAAAAAGGAGGGGAAGAGCCACCTTAACTCAGTGTAGTGGTGAGAGACATTTTATAAGACATTATTATCTCTTTTTAAGTCCTCTTATTTTCTTCGTTGTAAATTTATGTAATATTAGATTTGAATAAGAATATGAATTTTTCCAAAAGATCAACTATTGTAGAAAAATGAAACGAATTTCAGAAATTTCATTTACCGAGGTAAATGACTAGTTAAAAAGAGAATATTAAAACAACTATAATTTGTAATGGACTTTAAATAAATTATTTTATATAACACTTATGATGCAGTTATCATTGGATTAATCAAGAGGACATTGCGAAACTCGCTTGTAAGATAGGCAGATCAGATCGGCCTATAAGTAAATCAAGACAAAACAAAATATATGATAATACGTCGAAAATTACACCACAATAAGATCTGCGTAGAAGGAAAATCATTCCCGAGAGTAGAAAAATTCAAATACCTGGGCGCCACAATAACTTCAATAAATTACCAGCGTATAACTAGCGCAGACAGAGCTTTCTTCTCTCTTACAAAGATATTGAAATCCCAATAAATCTCAAACTAAGGGTGTACAATCCTCTGATGTTGTACGACTGTCCTAACATATGCCTGTGATACCTGGACACTGGAGACCGAGACGAGTCTTGGTCATTACCAGACCATTGTCTTGGTCTTGCGCAAGAGTACCGCAACAGTCTTGCAGTTACTTACTAGTTTATTGCTGTAGTAGATATATTACTGTAATTTTTTATATAGGAGAAACCTAACTAAGCCCGAGTGAAAAATTAGAGGAGTTATATGCAAAAGTATATTAGTTATACGAATTATTAAGATATAGTAACTAAAATTGTCAAGTATTAGCAACTATTTTGCCTTAATTTTTATTCAAAAAAATCGATTTTTTTTTACCAGTACTGGTCTTGGTCTTGCAACAGTTAGGTGATCTTGGTCTTGGTCTTTCAAAGTACAAGACCAAGACCGATTTTGGGTAATACTACTAACCAGCGCCCTAAAAAAACGTATTGAAAGTGTTAAGAGAAAAATCCTCAATATGATATACGGAGCGATCTGGAATCAGAATCCGAACACATGGAGAAGAAAGATCAATAAATAGCTGCTTACAGAAACTCATCAAGCAATATCTCATGATATGAAGGCACGGAGGTTAAGATGGGATGTGCATGTAGCTCATAACAATCTATCTTGAAGCCTGTATGTAATAATGAATACCTCAATACAAGGCAAAGTATGCATGAAAAACCGAAAAGCAGATGGATAGATCGTATCAATAAATATGCAATAGAGATGCGTGCAGATATCTGGAAAGAAAAATTTCAACGTTTCAATGTTGTTAAGTTTGTAATGCCAATAGAAAAAAAACAAACGTTACGATTATCATAGGGTGGTAAGTAAAAGTTGTGTGATGCGCACACATCGCACCAGATTTTTTTTATTATTAAAATCATTGAAACCAAATTTTAGTATTAGCTGTTAAAACTTTAAACTAAAAAGCTTTAATAAAAATTAGGTAACTTTGCTCGCGTCCGTACATTGTTCACGTGTCCACCGCTTATAACTAAATGTGCAATATTGTCGCCGCGAAGACAGTTCAACATCATAGAATCCACAAAAATATGAATCCATCAAAATTAAGGAAACCAGAAGGCCCAGTCAACACACAGCTTAAGGCTATGTTCTGGAACCCTGGTGGCCTAACTGCTGACAAATTCACAGAATGGGAGACCATCATTACAAAGGAGGATGCTGATTTATATGGGATCGTAGAAGGCGGCTCATCCACTGAAAATATCCAGTTCTACCAATTACCGGGATATCAAACTTATAAACTGCAGAGATCCAGGCAGGTTGCATCAGGAATAATTGTCGCTGCTAAATCATCCCTCAAGGTAACCTTTTCAATTAAACAGAAGATGGAAGAGAATGATAAATTGGAGGCTGTACAGTTAGATGTATGGAAAAGGATTCATGGCGGAGTTGTATTGGGCTGCCAGGAGCCGAATGGCCTGATAGCCAACGGCAGAAGCGTTTAACAAAAAAAAAAATATATATATATATTTAGTATCTAGAAATCTGGGTGAATACGATAGGAACATCATTAATTTGCATAAGGAAAGAGAAGATAATTGTCAGAACCTTAAATTCGGTATTGTGGAATGTCCTTAAAAAAATAAAAATTAAAAATCGTTCCTGAAAAGTGTTACTCTCCATTCACTAAATAAAACTAAAAAAAACTCACTTGTTACAAGTTTTATTACGTTAAAATAATTACATTAAATATGAGTTAAATAATATAACCTTAACAGTTAAATTAAAACTTAATTAATCTTATCACCCATCTTAACTTCAGATATCATGTATATGCCAACGATCAACCCGAACAAGCCGATCGCACTCCCGAAAATCTCAATAATTAGTATTTTGACGAAGAGCACCGGGTTGGCTGCGTCCGCCAGGGCCGCACCAGACCCGACGATGCCGACTGCGACGCCGCAGGAGAGGTTGACCAGGCCGACGGTCATCCCGGCGCCGAAGGTGAGGTACCCCGAGTACCAGTTGGCTTCGTACAGCGCCTGGTCCCCGATCACCTTCGAGGAGGTGAACGGCTCCACCGCCCCCGAGAGCACTATCGCCGTGATCAGCCCGTAGATGGCGACAGCTTCGCAGAATATTATCGAGATCAGGTTCTTGGTCTTTATGCGCGGGGCTTTGACTCCAGCCCCGACGATACTCACTCCGGTAGTGTATATCCCGATCCCAGCTCCAACGACTGACAGGGACACCGTCAACCCGATTCCTAGGCCTATCCACAGGAAAGGAGAAGCGGCTCCCAAGAACCATCCGATGCTCAGGGTCTCGCCTTCTTGCAGGATGATGGTGTAGAAGAGGGCAACTGACAACACAGCAGCTATAGCCGATCCCGAAACTACTTTCAGCAAGAGGTACCTCATTTCGTCACTTGAAGGATCAATCACTTCTTATAATAAATTATTAATAAGATATTATAACCAATAACTTAATAAGTCAATACAAAATTAAACTTTTATTAAAATTACAATCATATGTTTTTTTTACAAATAAATTAATCTCCTTCTATACATATACTTGTAATGATCCCTTTCCCGGCTTTCAGGAGCGATGGATTTTGTCGAATGAAGTAAAAACTACTAGTTACGTATAATTAAAGCAGAGGTTTCCTCTCCCAATAAGGGTGTACAATGCTATGATAAAGCCAGTTCTAATATAGGGCTCTGAGAACTGCACATAGCACCCTAGAAAAAAATAGTGAATGATTTGAGAGAAAAATCCACCGCACAGTTAATGAATCGGAGGCAATGAAGACTTTATAAGTTATATTTTTATTCATAATGTCTTTTACAAATGTCATTTTACAATACAGAATAAAATATTATGGATATATGGATTGACTACAAAAGTTTATAGGTTTTTTGGTTGGTTTGAATATAAATAACAAGTATACTAATTTTGACAAAATTATACTGAAACGAAATAATAGATCACGTCAAGATTTCTAGATAACAATACATGTTAGATTATATAGCACTCAATGTTGCCAGATCTTCTACAAGAGTGTGACTTCAAGAATGTAACTGCAAGAGTGATTAGTCCAGAGGAGCATGGCGTTTATATACCCAAGAATAGAAAGAGGCTGAGGGGAAGTCAGAAGGGAAACGTGAGAGAGAAGTTATTAACTATTACGAATTGGTATCCTTATCTTTTAGAATTCATATGAAGTCTATGATACAGAGACCTTAAGGGGCGGAGTGGCCGAATGGGCTAAAGCATGTGCACTGCAAGTGCAAGTATGAGTTCGCATCCTGGTGCCGTAGGGGATTTTAAATTCCCCGCCCTCTCCCTCCGACCCAGGAAAATCCCGTATAGCCAAAAGACGAGGTAGGGAAGGACAAAAAAAAAAAAAAAATTATACAGAGACCTTTTGCTGAAATATGTTATTGTTCTCCAAGTCTTGATAAACGGTCTTCTGTCCAGTCGGTACATTCTAGGTAATTATTTCTAAGCTATCAGAGATAGCTTGACCTGGCTATCTAAGGATAGCTTTGTCCTTTTATCCTTTGAGTTATGAGAATTGTCAATACATGATTTACCAATTGGAATATTTAACAAACTCAATTATTAAAATAAAAGTTAAATTAATATTATTATTATTATTATTTGTTACTGATTAAGTCCTTTCCGTAACTGCACGATAACTGGAACGATCTAGGATCAAAGTAACAAATGGAGAAGAAAGACCAATAAAGAACTGCTTACAGAAACTGTTCAATCAATATACCATGATATGAAGGCAAGCAGGTCAAGATGGCCAGGGCATATAGCTTGTAGCAATCAGCCATTAGATAACAATGAATGCCTCAATAGGAGATATAAGACCACGTGGAAGCCCAAAAATATGGATAGAAATAGCGCATGACAGACAGAGATGGAGCAGGCTTGTTAAGGCGGCAAAAGAACTGCAAGGTCTATAATGACAATAGGGGGAGAAAAACTTCAAGTTAAATTTAATAAAAGTCATTGAAAAATTAGGAGGTTTCAAAACCCCAACGTTGCCAAGTCGATAGATGGAGGTTTCGTCCGTGGTACAGACCTCGTTTATAGAATTATTAACATCCGCCTGAAACTTCGTGAATAGTTTCGTTTCATCGTAACCTACAAATGTTTTATTTACGAAAACTCTTGGCATTGGGGAGTTTTGAATCTGGAGGGGGGCAAACTTTGTCTATTTAATTAGACACTAAAAACTCGTAAATATTCATTTGCTTTCTACTTAGATCGAAAGATGATCGTAACGAGAAGAAAGGTGACCGCCAAAAATATTGGGCCATTTGTCCTATATAACCTTGTTATTTTGAAATTTTTCGGTTTTAGGTCACGCCAAATGGCTCAATATTTTTGAAAATATCATTCTGTATCGGCATATTTTATTGTATTATTTTAAAAAAGGTAAGAGTGCTGCAGAAGCTCATAGAAAATTTTGCAGTGTTTATGGGGATGATGCTTTAACCTAATGCACCTGTCAAAATTGGTTTGTCAAATTTCATTTAGGAAATTTTGGCATCAATGATGCTCAACGGTCTGGTCGCCCACATGAAATTGAAACGAGCAATGTTAAGGCCATTGTTGATTAAAATCTCATCCAATCAGTGTGAGAGGATTACTATGACCCTAAATGTGTCGCACACAAGCGTAGAAAACCGTTTGCACAGCTCGGCTATGTTTCCAGGCTTAATTTTTGGGTCATTCGCATGATTTTTTTTCGAAAAAAAAAATGTTATAACCAATAAGAATTTAGCTAGCTACAAGGAATTTAACACCACATAAACTACATAAAATGACATCAATAGGACCTTCACAAACAAACTACGAATGGAGATAAAAAATAAAAACCTATAGGAGTTTTTATTTATTTATTCCTTATGTAGGTATTAAAACAAAAAACTATTCATACGGCTTTAAATAGTAATGTAGTAATATCCTGAAGAATTATGAATGATAACTCTCCCACACCTCATTGGTCACTCGCAATAAATTATTGAGTCTTGGATGGTACCGTTTGCCCCACCCTCCCTATTCACCAGGCCTAGCTCCAAGTGACTACTACTTATTCCGGTCTCTGCAGAATAAATGTATGGAAAGAAATTCCAAATGAAAGAGAACATCAAAAACCACTTGGATCAGTTTTTTAACAATAAACTTCAGACATTCTATGAATAGAGCATTATGCAGTTAATGGACATTACATTGATGGACATAATACATTGAGTTTTATCTCACCCTGAAAAACCGAAAGGACTTATTTGCCAACCCTATATTTCATAACTTATTCAAATAAAAATTTATCATTGACCAGTGTAATGCAATATATTTTTTTAAATTTTATACTTCATCATTTTATGAAATACTGCTTTCTATATAATTTCAGTAGATATTAGATTTAAAAATAAAGCTGAGAAAAATTGTTCTATTTATTAACAGACTAAATGAATAGAAGCAGCCTTTAATATAACCTATTCACTTTCACCAACCTGCTAAAAGCCTTCCCAAACCTTTTGAATAAAAAGTAATGCCATCTACAATTTATGCATTCTTAAAAGGTATTTTTAAATATTTTAGGATATATTTTTTTCTTGTTGGTCGTATTCCATTGGCGCGGATATTGACAGATAGATTTGAAAAGATCACATATACAATCTTTCAGTTTTATAAAAACCATTAAATAATACAAATTTTTAAATAATAAATATTTAAAGTCAGAATGAAATTCAATATTATCTTACCTGTTTATAAATTAAAATATTTTAGTTATTAATGGGTTTTAAATTATAACGCTGTAAGACGGGTTCCAGGAAAATAATGAGTAATTACTGAGATTTTACGAGTATATTATATTCAACAATATACGTATTATGTTCAAAATGCATGGAACTATATAAGCTAAATTACTAACTGCACTAATATAATAACAATAAATATAATAGAACTCACGAATAAAACAATCTATTAAAATAATTTCATCCGAGAACCTTCACTTTCCGTCAGATAGACACTCTCACCCGTGAAAAAATACTACCTGACCTTGAAACCTTAGACTTGAACGAAATATATTCCTGCTCCTCCATCGACTCCATGGTTGAGATCCTGACTTCCAATCTCCTCAATATCCTTAACACCCATGCTCCCATAAAAACCTCAACCTTTCGCCGTCGGCCTGCACCTTGGATGTGTCAAGAAATCAAGGATCTGCAGAAGAGGCGTGATGCTGCCCGCAGACGCTTTAGACGTACTAGGCTTACAGATGACTATCAAGCGTTTAGGGTGCTCCGCAATTTGACACAAACAAGAATTCGGCGAGCTAAAGCTTCCTACTTCCATGAAGCCCTGTCATCTGCCCCAGATCCCAAATCTAAATGGCTAATCCTTCGCAAACTTTCCCTCTGTGAACCTTCTAGATCCCCTTCCTCACTGTTCTTTTCCGTTTCACCTGACGATTTAAATTCACATTTTATTTCTGCCTCCTCTACCTCTTCTCTTCCCTCCTCTTCCAACTATGCTCCTGAGTCATCATTTAATGATGATGACTTTTATTTCTCCTACATTTCCCCGACTGACTTACTAACCGCAGTAATGAAATCCCACACCAATTCCATAGGACCAGATGGCATTCCTGTCAAATTGATAAAATTATGTCTCCCCGAAATCCTCCCAGTTCTCCTTTTCATTTACAATTTCTCCCTACAGAACTCAATATTCCCTTCCTCTTGGAAAAAAGCCATTGTACTCCCTTTAAATAAAAAGCCTAATCCATCCTCTCCCGAAGACTTTCGCCCAATCTCAATTCTTTCCAATCTCTCAAAACCCCTAGAAAGATTGGTGCAATCCCAAGTTTCCAATTTCCTAGAAAAGTCTAACCAACTCGATCCTCTCCAATCTGGTTTCCGTCCCGGCTACTCCACACAATCCGCCTTAATCAAAATTACTAATGATGTTCAGACTGCAATAGATAATAAACAACTAACTGTCCTTATACTTCTTGACTTCTCTAAAGCCTTTGATTCCATTAACCATCCCATCCTTTTCAACAAACTAAAATCACTCTCCTTCTCCAATAGCTCCATCTCTTGGTTCCAATCTTTCCTATCACAACGCACCCAAGCAGTCTCCATTCCTAATCAACCACTATCTGCCTACCTGCCTTTATCCTCTGGAGTCGCCCAAGGATCTAGCATATCTCCTCTCCTTTTTAGTTCCTATATCAATGACCTCCATGACTCAATTCTCCATTGTTCCCACCACCTTTATGCAGACGATTCTCAAATATACCTATCCTTTTCTCCCCCTGAGCTATTGGTAGCATTTACTAAGATCCAAGCAGACCTAGATCGAATCTGTGCCTGGGCAAAATTAAACGGATTAAGGTTAAATGCTTCAAAAACTCAGGCCATTGTCATTGGTTCCAAGCCCCTCCTTAGATCCTATACGGACTTTCCCATACT